GCACGAAACTTGTCAGAAGTAGATCAGGCCTTCTTTTTGTATGATCATTTAGAAGGAGAGGCCAGGGATGAGATTAAATATCGCTCTAGTCAGGAACGAGGGGATCCGGCTAAAATCATTTCTATCCTCAAGGAGCTTTATGGATGTAATGAATCATATGTTGCATTACAGGAGGCCTTTTTCTCCAGGAAGCAATTAGAGGGGGAAACTTTGCAAGAGTTCTCCCTTGCTTTGATGAGCCTTATGGAGAAAGTAGAAGCACAGGCCCCTAGGGACATGCTTAACGCTGAAGTTCTTTTGCGCGATCAGTTTATAGAGTATGTCCTTGATGGTGCGCTCCGTCGGGCGCTAAAACAGTTTGTTCGTCTGAAACCGGCAGCAACACTGCTTGACGTCAGAGGTGAGGCAATGAGATGGGAACTAGAGGGTCTGCCAGCTAGTATGAGGGGCCGGAGTAATTCTCTGCCTCCAGCGCCCAGTTTTCAGTTTGCTGTGCGCGGTGGGTCACCAGCTATTGCTAGCCCCACTCAAACAGAGATTAAGGAGTTAAAAGAGCTCTTAAAACAGCAACAAGAGCAGCTTAATCGGCTTACTCAAAGCATTACCCTCCTCCAAACTGCACAAGAGCGCAAYCGCTCTCCACGTCGAGGTCCTATTATATGTCGACGGTGCCAACAGCCCGGRCATATTGCTAGGGAGTGTGGGGGGCCACATGTTTCCTTCCGTCAGCCATCTTTGTCAGGAGAGCCAGCTTTCGGAAAACTAGCACCCCCCGAGTTGCGGAGSCCCAGCTCAGGTGGGGCATCCATAGGCTCAATTAATGGTTTTTATTCAGCAGATGTACCAAAGTTGATTGCTTCTTGTCCACATATTGARGTGAACATGGCTGGAGTAAAGGTGCCTTGCCTAGTTGACACCGGTTCAATGGTGTCCACTATTACAGAAAGCTTCTTTATTGAATTCTTTGAGCCTTGGGGCGAAGAGCATTTSAGAGCTTGCCACTGGCTACAGCTAAAAGCAGCCAATGGTCTCCCTATTCCTTACATCGGCTATTTGGAGGTATCTATTGAACTGTGTGGCAAGTTGATGCCCCACTGTGGGGTGTTGGTAGTAAGAAACCCCCCAGATAGTRGTTCAGCTTCAGTTCCTGGTGTGTTGGGGATGAACGTCATAAATAAGTGTTACCAAGAACTATTTGGACAGCATGGCAATGCTCTGTTTAATACTACCCCTGTTGTGTCATTTCCAAAACCCTTGGTTAATGCCTTACAGAAATGTCATGTAGCTGAAACACAGCACACCCCYAAGCAGCCTAGTAAGGTTAGGGTGCGAGGCAGGAGGGCCTGCCGCATTCCAGGAGGTGTAATGAAGATTGTGCCTACCACCTGCTGTGACCAATACTCAGGTACTACTGTCTTGTTTGAACCATCAGAGGCTGGCTTACCAGCTGGTTTGTTAGCATCTCCTGCTTTAGTTCAGGTTGTTCGGGGGACTGCTTATGTTCCATTGGTAAATGTGGGCAACACAGATGTGTTACTGTACCCTCGTACCGCTGTGGGAACTTTAAACAGCGTTGACGTGGTGAGTCTTCCAGCGGGCGTAACTGAAGTTCCATTCTCTGTAAATGTGTCCTCCCAAATAGCTGTTGCTCCTGCCTCAGACGGGATCAAGACAATTGATTTATCATCTTTGTCGGCGGAGGAACAGGGTCCGGTGCGAGCACTGTTGGGTAAATACACTTCTGTGTTTGCCACTAATGATCAGGACTTGGGTTGCACCAACCTGATCAGCCATGACATTCCCCTGCTCGATGATGCTCCCGTTCGGCAGCGATACCGTCGAATTCCTCCATCAGAGTATGAACTTGTGAAGGAGCACATAAATCAGCTTTTGGCAACAAATGTCATTAGGGAAAGCTCCAGCCCCTATGCGTCACCAATTGTGATTGTTCGCAAAAAGGATGGTAGCATTAGGCTTTGTGTTGATTATCGTCAGCTTAACATCAAGACACGGAAGGATGCTTTTCCACTCCCTCGCATCGAAGAGTCCCTTGATGCTTTGACAGGGGCCCAGTGGTTTTCCACTATGGACTTGGCCAGTGGGTATAATCAGGTTCCTGTCACAGCAAGCGATCGCCATAAAACCGCCTTTTGCACACCGTTTGGGCTTTTTGAGTGGAATCGCATGCCT